ACCTCCAGTTTGAAACCCATATTTTAAGACAATCTTGGATTCCCCTTAATTTACTTGGTAGTTTGGGGCCATTCTCAATTCTTTAAGCCAGAAACCTTAAATGTGTTCATTGAGGTCAGTTTATCAACTTTTATGGAATTTCTCCCCTGAGCCATAGAAGAACAGGGCTCTGGGGGGCAGTAGGAGACTCCAGGAACAATGCTATGATCTGCAGTTGCAAGGAGCTATGAAATTAGGATGTAGATAGCCAGGAACACACAATTAAATTCCGGCAGTTTCCAGGCCCTTGGTTAATATTGAGATTCTTTCTGGGTAGTTACATCTCCACCAGGGTCATTAGAGGAATCAGAGATGGTGGCATCATGTGAGTTACACTGACCTCTTTAGTAAAATATCCTATAAAAGATGTCCTATGGACCTCAAAATCTGCCTAACTTCTCAGGGCATCCCAGCCCCTCTCTTGTCAGACAGCTAAACTTTCTTTGACCCTCTTCTATAATGATGGCATAATTACATCCCATGATATATTTTTGCATAACCATTGGTTCTCTGCTTCTATTATTCTTTGATTCTTCTATATCAAGGGTCCACGGTACCGGTCCATGGCCTGTTAGAAATGGTGCTGCACAGCAGGAGGTGAGTGGCAGGCGAGCCAGCGAAGCTCCATCTGTATTTACAGCCGCTCCCCATCGCTTGCGTTACTGCCTGAGCTCCGCCTCCTGTCAGATCAGCGGCGGCATTAGATTCTCATAGGAGCGTGAACCCTACTGTGAAATGTGCACGTGAGGGATCTAGGTTGTGCGCTCCTTATGAGAATCTGATGCCTGATGATCTGAGGTGGAGCTGAGGCAGTGATGCTAGCGCTGGGGAGCGGCTCTAAGTACAGATTATCATCAGCAGAGAGGTTTGACTGCACAGAGACCATCATAAATCAATTGCGTGCAGACTCATATCAAAACCCTATCAGTGAGTGGCAAGTGAAAACAAGCTCAGGGCTCCCACTGATTCTGCATTCTGGGGAGTTGTATAATTATTTCATTATATACTACAATGTAATAATAATAGAAATAAAGTGCACAATAAATGCAGCTCTTGAATCATTTCACAACCATCCCCCCCACCGACCCTGGTCCATGGAAAAATTGTCTTCCACGAAACCGGTCCCTGGTGCCAAAAAGGTTGGGGACCACTGTTCTATATTGTGATGTGAATGAGATTGCCCAGCAGAGCAGAAATCTAAGAATATGTATTAAAACCATGATGAAACAAACATAAATTTTTGGAAAATGTTGCCCTAGTTGAACCCTCAAGTTAGTTTATAAATTGTTGAAAATTCTGGTTCTTTTTCTGGCCAACTTGCTGTTAGTCTGAAAGATTTGGGCTGACCATAGACCTCCTTGCATTACCTGTCTCCTCTTTTGACTTTTCATGGCATGCAATTTCCTAACCTAACAAACCAACCCTCGACTCCTCCATTCATCCAGTAAATATCTGTAGGTCCCACTGTGTGGCAAGCCTTGTGCTAAAAGCTGGGGCCTCAGTCTCCATGTCCTTGGCCTTAGCAATGTCCTTCTTCCTCACAAGGGGAACAAATATGAAAACAAATAAACATCAGGACTCAGTGCTCTATTATAAGAGAAGCATGTACAGGACACACAGAGGACCCTAAGATCAGTGCCCACTTCTGCAGGACCGTAGAGGGAGACAGAAGAAGCTTCATCTCAAGAAGTGATGGTTAACCTGGGCCATGAGAACAGGTTCTGGAAAGAGGAAATTAGACAAGAAATGATGAGGAAGGACATTCCAGGCACAAGAAAGGCTTGAAGATGAAAATCCACAGAAATAGGCTCATTTACATTACTAGTCTTTTTGCCTTACAATTGGGAGAACGTGGGTCCAATAGGAGACTATATGTCTTTGATTACAATATTTCTCTTCCATTTTATACCTGCCTTCTCCAATTCTCCTGGTCCCAACCTCCTTAATAACAAGGAGTAGGGTTATATTCATCTAACACAGCATCTCACACATTTAGGAGGTCCTTAAAAATGTGTTGGGTGAATGAATACCATAAACCCACTGGTCATCATCCAGTTTAAGGGCTGTCCTTTGCCCCGGGAACTAATTCTGAATACACTTCATATAATGGCAGCAGTCACTTTCCGTAGAAATGTCTCCACCTTAGAACTCCAGGGAGAGCGGGGCAGGCTGGGCCGGCAATTTTACTAAAAGAGGCAGGAGGGATACACATGATCTAAATAGGTGTAGGTTGTGCGTTAAGCTTTGGCTAATAATCTTCTGCCTAATTTTAAGAAAAAAATTAGGTGCTTTGACCCATATTATGCATAAGTAGGTGAAAACGGGTAATTCAAACAACGACTTTCACCTTGACAACCTTCCTTCCCCCCCGCCGCCAAATGTAGGACAAATACCCTCTCACACAGAGTGGGGAAGTGCCGGTCCGTGCCTCTCAGTCCTCCCCTGTCCACTCCTCATTTACTGGGCTCAAAGCCTTCAGTAACCCCCTGGTTTGTATTTCCCGGTATTCCTAGCTCTACCCCATACATAGATCTGGGGCATCTCCTGGGCTTGTCTGGTGAGGTCGATGCGGGGAAGCCAACTCTTCTCCTCTTTCCTGCCTGGTCCAGTCAGCTCCATAGTAGACCAGACAAAGGGATACAAGTATTTATGACTTCATTTTGGTTTTTTATTTTTATTATTTTTTTAAATTAAAAAAATATTTTTTGGCTGTGCCACAAAGCATACAGAATCTTAGTTCCCCGACCAGGGATTGAACCCGCACCCCGTGCAGTAGAATCGCAGAGCCTTAACCACTGGACCACCAGGGAATTCACTTTTTAGTTTTTTATTGAGGAGAAAACCTCGGCTTGAAACCCTCAGCAAGGGTACACTCAGTGAGTCCAGCCTCGATGTCTACCCAGACGTCCTGCCCTGAGGTTTGTGCCTCTCTAGGAGACCGCTTTCGGGAAGACCCTCCCCTCTCCATAGAATCCGTCTCCTTTCACCGACCCCCACTCCAGCCCCTAGCAGTACATTTCTTTCAATCTCACTCATTAGCTGTGGTGAGGGGGCTGGGGAGATGCTAAGATTTAAATGCTAAGGTCAAGAGAATAAATAGCTGTAGGTGGGACTGCAAATCTCAGAGACTCTTATGGCGTCTCTCCCTTTCCCCAATCCCCGAACTGCAGCCCAGCCTCCTGGTACATTCACACACACACACACACACACACGCACTCTCTCTCTCTCTCTCTCTCTCTCTCTCTCTCTCACACACACACACACACACACACACACACACACACACACACACACACACACACACACACACACACACACACACACCACTCCTCCCAAGATTGACTGACAATTGTCAGCCCTATTACCAACGAATGCCTTAAGAAGGAAGGAGTTAGTTTTCTAACTGCCCCATAATTTGCAAGGTAACACTCTCCAGCAGTCTGGACATCTTATCATTATGCAGAAAAATACAGAATTCCCTTTCTCAGTCCCATCCCCACCCTCATCCTCGTCCCCATGCGATTTTATTTAAAAAAAATTTTTATTGGAGTATAGCTGCTTTACAATGTTGTGTTAGTTTTTACTGTACAGCAAAGTGAATCAGCTATACGTATACATATATGCCCTCTTTTTTGGATTTCCTTCCCATTTAGGTCACCACAGAGCACTGAGTAGAGTTCCCTGTGCTGTACAGTACGTTCTTGTTAGTTACCTATTTTATACATAGTATCAATAGTGTATATATGTCAATCCCTATCCCCCAATTCATCCCACCCCACCTTCCCCCCTTGGTATCCATATGTTTGTTCTCTCCGTCTGTGTCTCTATTTCTGCTTTGCAAATAAGATCATCTATACCATTTTTCTAAATTCCACACGTATGCGTTATTATACAATATTTGTTTTTTTCTTTCTGACTTACTTCACTCTGTGTGACAGTCTGTAGGTCCATCCATGTCTCTACAAATGACCCAGTTTCTTTCCTTTTTATTTTAAATGGCACTCTTTGGGCCTGCCGGGGATAGGAGAAGGGGCTATTGTGGGGCAAGATACTCACCCAAGGCTGCTGTTTTAATAAAGAGATGCTTTGCTACTGCCGTTCCGTTAAGGAATAGATTAACTCCTTATCTGAGAGCTTCCTTTACCCTCAATTTCTAACTAGGCAGGAGGGAAGCCTATGGATTAATCTTCCCCTCACAGAATATAGGTAATTGATGATCTGTGAGCACAGTAGCCGGGTCACATGGTCTGACAAAGGATTTATTTTCTCCAAATCATTATTCATTTTCGTGAAGTCTTACAAAGGAGTAAAAATCAAGCTGGATTGAAGTATTTTGTGCAGCAGTTAATGAATCACCTGTCCTGAAGAAAAGGAAAATGACACAAACTCTCTTGGAAAATTCAGCCAGCATGGTCACCATAGCTTTATGATATAGACTCACATTAATTATGAAAAACAGTCAATTCCGTAAAGAAATGTTTAAAAAAATCTTGAACAGGGGACCACGTATCCTGGTGAGACTAAAGTGGGTCAGAGGCAGAGCTGAATGCCAAATGATAACTTTTGCTAAGTAATTCAGGCCACGTGAACTCCGATATTTTACTTACTTTGATGCATATAATGGAGGAAGTGAGAGACCCCGTTCCTCCCGGTGCCAGGTCCCATGTGTTTACACCTGTTGTGGGCCTTGGTTTTCTGCGGGTGGTTCATATCCGCCCATTTGTCCTGTGTTCCCAGTGCTGGCAGTAGTGGTCCCTCTTAAATATAGGTTGAAGTTAGTAACTGAGAAAGTTTTGATGATTATCATGGAGAAGAAAAAAGAGACTGCAGAGCAAAGACAATACAGACATTTCAAGAAGAAAGTCTATGGTAAGTTTCACGTGCAACAGAATGGAATGCGACGGAAACATCAGAGGCCTTGGGGCTCTCGCTAATGTTCTTTTCATCTCTCTCCCTCACAGGGAAGCGATGCCGACATGGTGGATAAAAACAAGTGCTGTACCCTCTGTAACATGTCCTTCACCTCCGCGGTGGTGGCTGACTCACATTATCAAGGCAAAATCCATGCCAAAAGGTTAAAACTGTTGCTAGGAGAGAAAACCCCGTTAACGACCACAGGTAGGTGTCTGAACAGTGATGTCGGGGAGACACTGAAATCCAGTGCCCGTCCCATTTATCAGGCTCCCTCTTCGCGGGTGGCTGCCAGGATGAGAGTGGATGAGAGGAAAACCTAAAGGGATGAGCAGGTAGCCCAGCGGGACTTGTGCTGCCATAAGACTGTTAAACCCAAGTTCTGGTTCTCTCAGCCTGGCCCCTTCAGATTCGTAATTCACCAGTTTGCATCTGAATGGCTGTTTCCATCCTGCACGATGTTGTCTGTCATATTTATCGTATGTTATGTAAGATAATCCATCTATTATGTAAGGAACACTGTCCTTTCTAGATTGGGTCTGTAATCAGTAGGGGTGATGGATAGTGTATTGTATACATATTGCTTCCTTACTCAATCCTGGAGAATGTTCTCGTCTTCATGGGGATATGGAGGAGGAAAATGGGAGTCTTTAAAAACACTTTCATGTGCTGACACCCGAGGTGCACCCACCCCCTCCCCCCAGATGACATTTCAGTCACCTTTGTAGGGAATCTTGTGATTCAAGCCTATTAACTTTCACAATAAAAAGCTTAAACATTGGGCTTCCCTGGTGGCGCAATGGTTGAGAGTCCGCCTGCCGATGCAGGGGACGCGGGTTCGTGCCCCGGTCTGGGAGGATCCCACATGCCGCGGAGCGGCTGGGCCCGTGAGCCATGGCCGCTGAGCCTGCGCGTCCAGAGCCTGTGCTGCACAACGGGAGAGACCACAGCAGTGAGAGGCCCGCGTACCGCAAAAAAAAAAATTGATAACAGATCATATGACCCTCTAGTTCTTCAGAAGTAACAAAAAACAATTCTTCAGAAGTCTATTAAGTCATAGAACTAAATGACTACTGTTATCATTTAATCAAGATAGATTATTTGGACAAGATTTACATTGTGGCAAAGATGTTACTAGACGAGGTGATAATCCCAAGAAGTTGAGGGTATATTTCCTGATGTTGACTTTTTCAGTGCAATTACAAGGTAGCAGTGCATTGTATCTGGCTGCCTGACGCATCATGCATAAATCGTGGGTGTAATTATTTTTTCAATGGTATTTTTGAAATTGAAGAGAGTCTAAAACAATACTTGGCTTTTATCCTCACTGGGGTTTTTCTTAAGAAAAATATCTGCTTTTACCTGGAGACGAGCAAGGAATCTTTTCACTGCATTTTTCTACTTAGCTGAACTAAAGACCATTGTTTTTGTAAAGGTGGCTATGACGTTCAGACAGAGGATGGCGTTGCAAAACACATTGAATTTGGAGACAAGCTCAGCCTGATTTAGGCCTGTTCTGTGTGTTGGCATTTGATGAGCTGGCACTTGGTCGAAACTCTCGATTTTTGCTCTCTAAAAGGTTGGATGCTCACCTTGTAACCTACTCCCCCTCAAATCTCTTAAAATAGACACCTCAAAGAAACAACCACTGGAAAGTTTTTACCTGTTCTCCGTGAATGTGTAACTAGCCCATTTGTTCTCTGCCTAAGCTTAGTATTGCTGTTAACATTAATTTTGGAGGTGGTGATGGAAGAGAAGAGGCTATATCTTTGTTTATCACGTTAATTAGCAAATGGGAGTTATTATTTCTGTAAAAAAAAATCACCACCAGGCAAAAAAAAATAGTTCTTTGTGAATTTCAATACATCCTTAAGACAACCAAGCATCAGTTTGTTTTTCTGAGTTATCCTGAGTTGTTAGTTGCCATCAATATATTCCAAAGGAAAAGAATCTAAAATCCTTGAACTGCAGTGTTTCCTTAATGACTTAGTCTTGGTGTCCATGGGGCTGGCCCAGTCCTCACTGTGACAGGCATCAAGCTGCTGGGTGGGTGAGGAGGGAATGGGGGTGGGTGGGGGGAAGGTAGCAGGAGCTGTTAGCTCGTGGCTTGGGCTACGGAAACAGATGCTGGTTGGCTTTTCCCAGCATCTCCCTTTCTTCAGCTTAACCTCCCATCCATTCTCCTCCAAAGCTGCTTTGAGCGGAAAGGATCTTGGAACATTGGTAACTTCAGACAGAACTGGGCAGCCTGGGAAGCTACATTGGTCCCTGGGCTGGCGTTGTTGTCAAGCCAGCTGCTGGCAGGGAGCAAAGGAAGCAACGTGTCCTCCTACAGGGAGGTGAGTCATCAGGTACAAGTGTAAGCGGAGGGTAGGCATTATGTCCTGAGGCACAGGACAGGGGTGGAGGGCCTGATAGGAGGGGGGAATCCAGCAATGGAGATTCTGGGTACTGAGACTCAAGCAGGGTACCGGCATCAAGAAAGTCGGGCAGGTGGTAGCAGGGTGCTGGCTGCAGTCCTGGGGCTCTAGGGAGAGAAAAGGCTGTTCAGAGCATGGCAGGGCACCATCATTTTAGACCAGAGTGCTCCCTGAACCCGGTTTGCCAGACCTAGGATAGAGGTTGAGGCTTGGTCTCCAGCAAAATGCAGTTACTGCAAATGCAGGATAAGGACCAAGAGGCAGCAGAAAAGAAGACCCAGGCCACGGGCTTCCTGAGCCCCCAAGTGCAACCCCTTCTGCTCCTTAGTGGAGTCAGGATTGCCTGCCATCCGCCCTTGTTGCCCGCAGCCGAACCCAGCAGCGGTGCCGAAGGTTCACTGTCCTCTGCCCATCTAGGAACTGCTCTGCCTAATCAACCAGATGGGCTTGACATTACTTCCGTCATGAAAACAAAAGGGAAAAACAGAACATATAAACAGCTGAATTCAGAAGCAATCTCTCCGCTCAGGTGTGCTGCTGAAGCCTCCCCTCCACGAATGACAGGCTCTTGAGTGGTGGCGACCTCTGGGTACGAATAATTGAAGCACGACTCATTGCTTCTCCGAGCTACTCCATCTGACGAGGGCGAGCAGCTGGTATCTGGGAATCATTACCTTTCCCTCTACTCAAGAGGTGCTTTGATCAGGCGTCAGCTGGGGATCCTGCCGAATTACACAGTTTAGGTTTGGGTTGCCTTTCCAGATGCACCTGTATTTACTAGAATTTCTGAGATGCTTGGCAGGGCCGCTAGAACAAAACCCAGTTCCGGATCTTGTTTGTTAGTGTGTTGTGGAATCTCTGCTCCAGTCCATGCTTTTCTAGATCCTTCTGTAAGATGAGAGCGTGATGGGACTCGGGACCCACCACATTCTCTAAGCCTTGGCAGACTTCAGCGTGGAGGTCATGCCCAGATCGGAGGCTAGATTAGGCTGCCGTGGTCGTGTCACTGCCACACTGTGGGAAGCGTTTCGAGGTGACTCAGAGGACAGAGGCCAGAATGGTGAAGGGCATGGACATCCTCTCACTGGAGGGAGAGGAAAGGGAGCAGGGTTGTTTAGCGCGGAAAAGAGATTACTCAGAAGGCTGTCATGGGAAAGAGTCATGCTGTGTGTGTGTTACCGAGTCCAAGTTCGCTCTGCTCGCCGCACGACAGGCCAATAAATCGGAAACAAGGTGTTGAGGCAGGGAATACGACTTTATTCGGAAAGCCGCCAGACCGAGATTATGGCAGACTAAAGTCTCAAAATCACCATCTTATCGGGGTTTGGATGCCAGTTTATTTTATAGCACAGAGAAAGGGAGGAGATGAGGAAGGAAAGTAAAAAGGCCCTAAGTTAGGCAACTGTCCCCTGGAATGGCCAGCTTCCGGGAGGGGATGTGTTCATTTCTTCTTTCTTGCAGCCATCTACAGGTGGAACAGGGTCCAGAGTCTCCCTGAACAAAGGCACTTCGGTTTAACATTCAGGCAGAGGGGCGGGTTCCCCAAGGCAGGCAATTACGTATAGACAGTACCCTTTTAATGAACAAAAGCAGTGGAAAGCAAAGGTTAAGGTAAAAGAAACAGATCCAACATGTAGTCCAGTTTGGCTCTTCTCTATTGCGTGTGTGTGTGTGTGTGTGTGTGTGTGTGCATATGTGTGTGTGCATACATGCATGTGTGTGCCTGGGTGCAACAGATTCAACCAATGAGTGGGTAGACGTTAGGGGGCTAGATCTGAGCTCGAGATAAGGAAGGCGTTATTAACGTTCAGAGACACTTAAAGGTGAGCTGTGTGTCGGGGGCTGCTTTGAAGCAGAGGCTGGCTGACCACTTGTCAGGGCACTTCCTGAGGGGCTGCCACCATCATGACATTAACCCAGAGGACACTTAATGTCCCTAGATTACATGGTTAGCCTAGATGACATTTAAAGACCTTCCGACCCTGAGATTCTCAGCGGATGCTACCTACAGGCTTGACCCACTGACATAATATGGCGGAAAAAACCCTAACCTGGGAGTCAGGAGACAGGAGGTGAGGCCTGGCTCGGTCTTGTCGCATCTCCTTTAGCAGCTCCACGTACTTTTCAACCTTAGTTTTCCCATCAGTCGTCTGTTTCTTATACTGGATGCATTTACCTCACTGGCCCTTTTACAGAGCAAATGATAGATTGAAAAGTGCTTTGAAAAGTAGAAGGTCTTGTGTTCTTCCCAGGTGAGCCTTTGGTGAGTTGATGGGGTGTAGTAGGCAGCCTGACCCCTTTCCTCTATCAGAGCCTCTGACGTCCAGATTATGATTAACACGGGGTTATTCAAACTCTGCTTGAGAGGAGCACAAGGGTGCCCGGAATTGGGTCTCCTTGGAGACGGACCTTTCTGGGATGAGTTCTGTGAACCAAGGCAGGGCCTGGCCCAGGAGAGGGGGGCAGTGCTGGTGCTGGTGGGCCGGGGGAACAGGGACTGTGAACCCACGGGCAGGGGGTGACCACGGAGTCGAGGACACAAACAGGCTCTGGCATTTAGGAAACCTGTCAGGAGGAGAAACACGCAGCCACCAAGCCGAGGGCAGGACTCTGCATCTGGGACTGAGGACCGGCAAATAGAGGTGACAGTGAATCTTTTTCAAGACAAGAACTCGGACTTCCCTGGTGGCGCAGTGGTTAAGAATCTGCCTGCCAATGCAGGGGACACGGGTTCGAGACCTGGTCCGGGAACATCCCACATGCTGCGGAGCAGCTAAGCCCGTGCGC